GCAATGACTATTCAATAGTTGAGCCCTTTAGCAAATAATGTACTGTTTTCATAAAAATATAATGGTGAAAATTGATGGAGATTTTGTGTCAAACCAAACCGACAAGGATATAAAAGATTCATAAGAATTAGTTCACAAGAAGTGCATGAAAGTGAGAGACAAAAATATTGAGTGTAATTTATGCAAATGAATAATATTTTTTTATGTCTACGTCAAACTTTCAAAAAAATACGCGTTTGAAGTTTGACTCTATAAACTTTAAAATTGCCTTGCCAACCCGCTGAACTATACTCTGTTCTCATCGGTCTTTGTTGGCAGCCTCTTTGGAGAAAGAAAAAGGGTTAAAAGAGAAGAGAAAAGAGAAAATGAGAGTAGGGGCATTTTTGGAAGCATAAAAGGGTAAAATAGGTATTATATTAATTGAGGGATGTTTTCGCACAAATTGAAAAGAACAGAGGTGTTTTTTGCACTTTTTTTTTTTTTAACTAGGGGATAAAAGTGCTATGAAATGTATACTTTATGGGTGTTTCTTGTATTTCCCCATTTTTTAATCTATGAAAAGTGTAACCGATTGTATTCTAAAATAAAACCGGTCCGATTGAACTTTAGTTGAGGGCTAAAATAACAAGTGTTTTAATTTAAAATTATCAAAGCTCTCAATCAAACATAAAATATAATATGTGCAATGTGTGTCCTCACTCCCTTATAATAATGTTCTCATTTATTCAGAGTAGACTTGCATATATAATTCCCCTACCGAAATCCAAACTTAAAAAGAAACTAAAAATTAGATGGGACACGTTTTGACAATTAAATTTATCAATTACAAAATATATGCTTCACACATGCAACCGTCAAAACTTCTAAGTTGCACTACAAATTTAAAGATCCATATTACACCTAGTTGGAGTTGTGTAACTTTAATGTGTCGACAGCCCCTTCAAATAGACATGGATATTGATCTAATCCCTGTGAAAGGAGTATCATCTTCTCAAAAGTTCAGATCATGGAGCAAATCCAATTGTATGCACCCCATGATTTCTGCTGCAGATCGCAATGACTATTCAATAGTTGACCCCCTTTAGCAAATAAAATACTGTTTTCATAAAAATATAATGGTGAAAATTGATGGAGATTTTGTGTCAAACCAACCCCACATGGATATAAAAGATTCATAAGAATTAGTTCACAAGAAGTGCACGAAAGTGAGAGATAAAAATATTGTGTGTAATTTAAGCAAATGAATAATATTTTTTTATGTCTGCATCGAACTTTCAGAAAAATATGCGTTTGAAGTTTGACTCTATAAACTTAAAAATTGCCGGAACTTTCAAGTATTTGTAAATACATCCCAAAAGCTAAACCAATTAAATATTTATTCCAACAGCAATCTGGTATACATCATAGTAACATGATTCTAACAAACAAAGAAACAGAGACTTTAGCTTCCACATTAGTTCTATTCGGAGGCATACACAGATATCATTGAACCATAGCAACCGTGTATGGTTAAAATATTAAAGCTGCATACATTCTACTAGCGTCATGAAAAGTACTATGGCTACCATAAAACACCATTGCGTCGAATTTCATGTAGTTGTGGATTTTCTTATGTTGACAGAGGATGGAGGAGGACGGGGAACCCTTTTTTCCGGCATAGGTATGATGGTGCCAATCATGTTCACGAGATTGTGGAGAACTAGTATATTCTTTTCCTAGGACTGGTGAATCCTGACATAACTAAGCCTGAGGCCATGATTGCGATTTCGCTCTCAGACCCGAACCAGGCAGCCTCTGAGTTGCTGCTGAGGATAGCATATGACAGAATGTCATGTGTTTGTATTCCACTAGACGTGGCAGCTTTCTTCTCCCTAATCAGTTGCTGAACCTCCTTCCTCATTGTGTCCGCGGCTTGCTTCCTATGATAAAACACAGTTTAAGGAAACGTGTTAAATCGTTTAATGACGTGTTTATAGACATTTAATATTTAATCAAATAAATAATAATAAAAAATTATCACAATTAACTTAAATATTCAAAATAAGAAAACAAGGTTTATGTTAAAATGACTTAAATATATATAATAATTGAATTTAAATAGGTAACATATTACATATGTCATATTCACGATTATAACATGTTAAATTAAATAGGTTACACGAATTGAACCACTCAACCCTAACCCGGCACGCTTAAGTAAATAGGTTAATCGTGTCGATCCGTTTTTTATCCGAACCAGTTTAAAGTCAATGAAAATCCTCTTATCCTGTACTGTATTCGAGTCGTGTTGGCAGGTCGTTTCGTAATTTGCCATTCCTAATTACTAGATTGCGATCAGAGGCCAACCCCCAACCATAAGCCGTCTCAACAAGAATTTGCTCCCCCTGTTGTGGGGTCGGAAGATTTAGCGGCTACAGCTACCTTTTCAAGTTCTTTTCAAGTGTGTGAGTTCAAGACTTTACCGAAATGTTGAGGGGACGAATATTATCGACCCCCTTTATTTTATTCTACAATTATCATATTCATCAACTTTTCTTAATCTACTAATTTATATATGTATATTAAAAATGGTATTGAATTGTCTTCATGAGTTGTACATATGGAAGAATGAAGATCCATTCATTAAGGGACTTGTGGCCTAGTGGTATTTATTCTACCTCTTAAAGTGATGGTGAGGTTCGAATTTTCAAAAGAACAAATTGAGTGTGCGAATGATCTGTGTAAGTTATGCCAATGACAAAAAATAATAATAAAAATAATAAAATAAAATAATATTCATTCCTTTTTCCTCTAGATCAATCTAGACATATTTTTTTTTGGTATTTGGTTTTTTTTTTTTTTCTTTTCTAAATAGTAAAATAATTCTCACACACATGATCTCCATTAAAACTTGAACCCACAAGTCTCTTCAAAAAAATATGATTGTGGTTGGTACTTCAATTTAGGGACACACACACACACATTGGATTGAGATACATTAGAGCCCCCTTAGCAGCATTGTTCGAGTGAAAAAAAAGATGATACTCATCAAACTAATTTTTTCCCCTGATACAGATGAAATAAAATAAAATGAAAATTTAATGGCTGTACATAATTTTATCTTATCACGTGAACGTGTGGATTGAAATAGACTTATTGAATCACATGATTTAATTTAAATCATGGCAGCTTTCTTCTCCTTAATCAGTTGCTGAACCCCCATCAATCTCTCTTAGGATTGGGCTCATAATTGAAAAACACCCATCTCTAAAATAATGTCACATTTCATTTTTTAAAATTATTTCTCACCGATCAAAAAAATTAAAAGAATATGACCGTCCAAATGGTCTAATATCGCTGCTCCAGTGTAGTACACGCAACCCCTTTCCATCTACCACACATCACCTCCACAACTGTAACTATATAATTATGGGTCAGGGTTACTTCTTATGGTCCATTTAATTGAGCTTACCTAACAAACAATTTTAAATTCTCTTTGTTATCATTCAATTTTAGTGTGGTCAAGTGTACAAACCATTCTTTACACCACTTATATATTGATTCTTTTTTCTTTTCTTTTTTTTTTTTTTTGGTAAATCACTTATATATTGATTCTCCTAATTTGTGGACTAGAGAAACCATGTAGAATTTGAAAAGAACACTACTTGTATGTCTCATTTTTTTATTTGACGCGTATATACTCTTTAGGTCGATCAGAATAATCTACTTCAAAAATACCATTTGGATAGTCACAGACGATACGATTCTAGTTACGGTTAAAAAGTTATTGACATTTATATATATATAAATGGTGCACGAAAAAATATCATGAAATAGCATTAACAACTTGTTCACTGACCATTTATATCAAAAGAGTCTGCTTCAAAAATAGTGACAGTTACATGGGCACGGACAATATGATTCAAACCACTCTGACCTTGAAAATTTTCAAGTTATGGTCTGAAATTTATTGACGTTTATATAAAAAGTGTATAAACAAACATCAAAAGATAAGGCAGTATTAGCAACTTGTTTATTTATATCAAAAAAAATCTGCTTCAATAATAGTTACAATTAGCCGGATAGACTAGAAAATATGATTCAAACCACACCAGCATTGAAAATTTCCGAGTTATGATTAGAAAGTTATTAAGGAAAAACATCAGAAGATGAGATAGTATTAGCAACTTGTTCACTGACAATTTATATCAGAAAAACCTACTTAAAAAATAGTGACATGCAGTGCGGAAGATACGATTAAAACCGTTTCGGTCTTGAAAAATTCCAAATTACAGTTAGAAAGTTAATGAAGTTTATAAGTCTATATAAAAAGTGCACCAAAAAACAACAAAATTGAGGCAACATTGGCAACTTGTTCACTGAAGATTTGTATTAGAAGAATCTGTTTTGAAAATAGTCACAGCGTGGGCCTTAAAAAAATTCGGAGTTATGGTTAAATATACTATCAATCGTAAAATAAGCGTTAATTAACTTTTTTTTGTTTATTCACACAATTCATTTTATTTTATTATTTAAATCACACACAAATGACAGCTTAATCAAATCAGTAATTTAAAAATCTCACTCTGAAATATAACCGCATCTGAACTTTTATTCCACTTAAACGTACATTAAATATATATATATATATATATGCATGAATATTAATACTGCCTATTAGCTTATACACCAGTTCAACAAGATCCGTATACATCATAACATACTTTTAGTATTATTATTATTATTTTTCATTAAGATTTGAACCCTTTACCTATCTTTAGAAAAAAAAAGAAGGAATTAAGTACTACCACGCCACTAGCATGGGTTAATCATAAAATACTTCTAACAAAGAAAGACTTAGCTTTCACATTATTTTTATTCGGTGGCTTACCGATATATGAGTACTGGATAATAACAACAATAGTTACAGTACTACATCTGCATGTATACCATTGTTGATCTAGATACATATATATTATACTACGTTCACGAATAGTACTGGCTAGCATAAACACCATTGCTTATGTTGAGAGAGGTTGGAGAAGGATTGGGAACCCTTTTCCCGGCATAGGGATGACAGTGCCAATCATGTTCTCGTTAGGAGCCAACACCTCCCATTTGAATTTTTTGACAAGATTGTGGAGAAAAATGAGCATCACTAGTCGACTGTACTCTTTTCCTGGACACACTCGTAGACCACCGCCAAATGGGACGAAGGTGTAAGGTGGAGGAGTCTCAAACCTCGTCGGAGATAACTTTTCTGGTTCTGGAAAGCATTCCGGGTTCTTGTTTGTGGTAGTCACGCTCCAATACACCTTCATGTTAAGATAGAGACAGATTAATTTATTACCGCATACACGCCCCAACTCTTCAAAATTTATGTTAAAAAACCAAAGAGATTTTCATGGGCAGGTAATTTCAATCACATGATGTGACGAACTGATGGTGATTATGATTCGACGGTCACATGCAATAGCCAATAATATATACGAGATTAGGTTTATGTTGAAAAAAAATTTAAATTTCTTAAGATGATTGTTACTGAAGGACACATGAATTGATCAAGAATCGAGATGGTGTAAATAACAAATCATATGAAGAATTTTAATAACGGAGGTTTAGTTTTACTTACTTTCCAACCCTTTGGGATGGTGTAACCTTCATATGTGAAGTCCCTTAAGGCCTCCCTGAATCCTCCTTGAAAAGGTGGTATGATTCTCATCACTTCCAGTGATGTGTGCCATGTGTATTTCATCTTCTGTATGTCCTCCCAATTAAGCAACTCGCCTAATTTCTTGGAGCTGCTAATCTCCATTTGTTCTGATATTGAAAATTCCACCGCTCAATCAATGTCAATGCCAATTTCAATTTCAATTTGTAAAGGATAAAGAAAAGAAGGTTTGAAACCAGAGAACCAAGATTCTCTGTTGTTATTTTTGTCATATGTCTATTATGTGCCTAATACAGCACCTTTACATCTTCAACATAAAAACTTTAAATGAACAATGCAACAAATACCTAAATGTGTTAAAATTTTAATTTAATAGTAATATAACAACGCAACACAGTGTGATATGTTATATGATTCAAGTTAAAATCAAGATTGTTTCATTTATATATGATGGGTTGTTTAGAGGGATTATTACAAATACATGATATTATAAACTCATATTTACTGATAGAATCAAAGTCATGATGTTCCAAAAATATATTTAAAGGAATTATTATGAATGCATAATATTATAGACCCATATTTACTATTTACTATTTTATGTATATAGATATATACAATTTTTTTGTATATACCATGTCATCTTATACCACTTTCTCCACAAAAGTGGTACTGAAAATAGTAAGAGTAGTTTGGACAATGAATAATATTTTTTCATCTCCACAGTTCAGTATTTTGATCATAATTTTCACTCCATGCCAAATGGTAAATATAGGTCCATAAGTCCATCTTAAAATTATTGTCAATGACATACCTGCACGAATTTTATCATATATGTCGGGTCTTTCTGCCAGGTATTTCATGATAATGGCTAGAGCAGTGGCAGGTGTGGTGAATCCAGACACGACTAAGGCCGAGGAAAGGGTTGCTATTTCTTTCTCCGACTTGAACCGGCCAGCAGCAGGGTTGCTGCTGAGGATCATATGTGACAGAATGTCCTGAGTTTGTATTCCACTGGACATGGCAGCTCTCTTCTCCATAATCAGTTGCTGAACCTCCATCCTCATCGCGTCCGCGGCTTTCTTGGCGCGGTAAAACACAGTTCCAGGAATATTTATAGGGAAAGAATGGAGCCCGACCGTCATTCCATCTGATAGCCTAGCAAACTTTTCGATACGAGGATCATTCTCTTCGAACCCTAAGAAGAACCGGCTCGATAGAGTCGCGGTCATTCTGTGCATGAGCTCATAGGCCTGCACTTTTTGTTTTCCCTCCCAGTGCAAGTTGAAATGTTGTTGAATCATGGTGTCCATTTTCCCCAAGTACCCGATAAGTGCCTCCGTCTTGATGAAACCCGGGGCACGGGTGACATTGACCATGGTTTCCCGTGGGATGGAGGCCGAGGCATTGGGGAGGAATGGGGCGCGGAAGAGCTTTTGGAGGGAATGTGGGCGCCACACCCTGAAAAGCTTCTCCTCGTTAGCGGTGATGAATTTGTGGCCGGCAACGCCACAGAGGACGGCGGTGGGCTCACCGTACACTTTTGTCTTGAACACTTTGGGAGAGTACTTCTTCATTCTGTCACCTATGAATTTCTCAGAGTTCCCGTAGAGGAATTCATAGGTTTCTCCAATAATTGGCCACCCAAAATTACCCGGTGGATAGTTCGTTTTTCGCCGGTTAGTTTGGTGATAGATAAAAATATAGAGGAAGACACTAACAGCAAGAGTAAAGACAGTGAAGAATATTTGTGGTGAAGAAAGGAAAGAGAGCTCCATGTTTGATGATAGTTATGCATGGAAATGAGTTTGAGATTTGCTCCTTTTTATAGAGACTTCTGGTGGCATTTATGTCTTTTTGTTGGGGTGAATTGATGCTGCAATTTAGTCAATATATGATGCAACATATATACTTGATCATCTCATAATATATAAAAGAGTATCTTTGAATTTTTTTGCACTCGGAAAGAAAATTCAGATTGTTGAACCATTATAAAAGCAAAATGTTTTTCATTTCTTAATAATGTCTTGATGCAATTTTAAGATAGAAACTTCAGTTCATTTAACCTTTATAATATACATTAATGATTAGTCTGCTGAATTATTTAGGTACATAACGCATGTCATTAATTCCTTTATTTAATTGGCACACATGTCTTGTTGTAATATGAGACTTCTTTTTCTTTTACTTGCTAGCAAAGATTTTAGAAAGTGGTGCTCGCATGACATGTTTGATTGCAATTTATGGGTGGGGCCGCGGGGCGCGGGGCTAGAGAGAGAGTTATATATATATATATAGGGGCAAAGGTAATTTTTACCTTACACAGGCTATATATATATATATATATTTGAAACTTTTTTATTAGTATAGGTTCAAAACAAAAAATTAGTATAGCCTGTGTAAGGTAAAAACCTACCTTATATTATATATATTTTAAAAACATTTATTTGTTTATAGGTTCAAAAAAAATTTAGTATAGCCGGTGTGAGTTAAAAAGTATCTTATATTAGTTATATTTTTTTAAAAAAAATTTATTAGTATATAGGTTCAAAAAAAATGCCTCATTGATGGTTTGTTTGTTTATATATATTATATATTATTTTATTTAATGTTTTGATCATTTTTTTGTTTGTTTCCTTCCTGGATCTACTCCACCCCCACTTTTTCTTTCCTTTGAAATATGGCTCAATTTTGGGGCTTTTTTTATTTTATTTTTTATGTTTTTTTACAAAATGCGAACGCGATTCTCTGACTCAGTTATGTCCTCAATTAAAGTTTAATATTAATTGAATAATTTCTAATATTATATATATATATATATATATATATATATATCAAATTGTACTCTTTCATAATTCATTTGTTTTTTGTTTCAAGCTAAAGTTTGTGATTCAACTGTTACTATTGATTTCCCGATGGGGACGACAAGTGGAAAAGATCCAACGATGGAGACTATCAAATTGATTTCCCAACGATGGTGACGACAAGTGGAAAAAATCTAACAATGGAAACCATCAGATTTAGACCAGACAAACACCGGTTCTGATCTATGATTTTGAGCACACTGCATCTAAAAGTATAGTGTCTCTCTTTATTTTTCAATCACTCAAAGTGTAATATTATTTTCCAAAAATAATAAAAATCAAACTGCTCTCTCTCAAGGACCGGATAGCGGAATATGCAATCAATTTTTACCAATTTTTGAAAATATAATTTTGTTTGACGATTCTGGTATTTTTTTTTCATAAGCAAGTATTAAATCGTGCTATTAGTACATGAATTCATAAACTAAAGTGTTTATTTTTTTAAATTGAATGTTCTTTGAATTTTGATCTTATTTGTGTTTTTAACGGGTTAGTGCTTTTTAAAAAAAAATAATAAAAAAATCTTCTTGAAAAAATTTTGCGTTATTTATATTTTTGTATGAATATAATGAATAGTAATATCGATCCCCCCCCTCCCCCCAATCACAAGATTCTGGCTCCGCCCGTGATTATATATGATAGCATTTGTTTGGGGGCTTGATGAGTCCATGCAAATATAATTGAATACTTCTTCTATGATAATTTACGCAAGTAGAAAATTAAATCGTTTTTGTACCATATTAGTTATTCATTTTTGTTATTATAAATTTTTAAAGAAATATATAATTAATATATTATTTTTTTGCTTTAATTTTTTAAAGAGTAAACTACACTCAAACTACCGATGTTAGGTCATTTTTTAACTAAATTAATATTTTGATTTTAGATTTCATTTATATTTGAATTAGTAGTTTAACATTTCACTTACACCCCAGATGTCAATTTTTGGTGGGGTCATGGTACTTTTGAGGTGTTAAATGACTACGATACCCTTTGACCTCATGTTGACTATTATTGTGACCAAACTACGTACTCCTAACATACACCTTTCCTCGACTATCATCATCCCCAATTAACCCATCAATCTTGCCATATACACACAAATACAAAACAACCATATATATAGATATATATACACACACACACGTACAAAACAGCCATATATATATATATATATATATATATATATATATATATATATAAATGTATACACACACATACAAAACATCAATTCCAAATTAAAGAAATTCCATTTTTTTAATATCATATCTTGTAAATCCGTCATTCCAAACATACCATTAAGACTCCATTATTGCAATGTTAGGTGGGTTTATTCAATCAGCTTAAAATAAAGTTGATATTTAGATACAAACACAATTGATTTCAACATAAAGTCAATTTATTTTTAACAATCACAATATTTATTATTTCACTATATATATATATATATATAACCTATATGAAAAGGTATTAATTATATATAAATAAACAATTATAAAAAAATGTGTTTATTTAAATTTGGAAAATGAGAAAAAAAATTATAAAATAAAATAAAATAGCACGTAAAATGTCAAAAAAAAAATACCTAAGCCATTTCATGATGAAAAGGGATCTTCTGATCAAGAGGAGACTCATTGGCAGTGAAAACCCGACCAACAACATTGGTCGAAGGGGCAGCGTCACCCATATAACGACGTTGGTCGAAGGGGCAGCGTCACCCACATATAACAGTTCATCGAAGCCGAAAGCTTCGACGACGTCGTAAAGTGAGAAACTGTTGTTAACAGAAATCCTCTGTGGAAAAAACCCCATGTTTTGTGAAGAATAGAGTCCAACCATGACTTCTGAGCTTTGATTTCTTCTACAACAATAGAGAGATTGATTAGGACTGTGTTGGGGTTTCGAGATAGAACTGTAGGGAAGAGAATTGTATTCTTGTAGGTCTTTTGCTAAGGTATTCTAATTGTATTCTAATTTCTGTGAAGAAAGTATTTTCTGGCATTTTGCTTATACGGAATCCTCTCTCTCTCTCTCCAAAATTCTGATATATATATATATCTCCTAATTCAAGTTATTATGTTCATATTATATGTGTAAGAGATATAAATATAAATAAAGGAGGAAGATGTGTGGTGGTTGAGTTGTGGCGGTGGTGTGTTGGTTGTTGTGGGATGAGGATTGTGGTGGTAGTTGAAGGGGGTGGGTGACAGAGACCGCAGACGAAATACATGAAACTCAAAATTGTAAAGGGGGAATTTATTTCGTTTAAGATTAAAGATATTTTGTGTTAAAATTTTGATGGTAAAAGGGTCTAAAGACACCGAGTACGGCGTGGATCGGATACGGCCCACCTGACAGAAAATGGGCCAAGTAGGTGATCCTGATCCGAACCAACCAGTCTCAAGCTAGGCCCAAGATTGAATAGTGATGCTGAAGGCCTGCTAAAAATGATCGAGCCCATGTCAAGGGAGGCCCGGAACATGGCCCAGTGTGAGAAATTAGTTAAGAAACCTCTAGGACCATTGTAACAGTCTATAAATAGACTGAAAGTAGAGGGGAAAAGGAGGAGGAAAAATTATTGAAGTGTAATAAAACTCTGTCAAAATTAAGAGAGAAATTTCTTGTATCTTCAATTGGTGCCATCTTTGGGAATCGATGAAGATTGATTGATGATCGGTCAAGAGTGATTCGATCGCGAGTGATTCGCAAGGAAGAAGCTGAACCAAGGTCGGCAAAATCATTATCTTTTATGCGGAACTTCGATTCTGGTTGTTTATGAGATATTTGCGTTCGATTTACGTAAATCTGATCCGTGTCTGTTCAGTCGATCAATACGATTGTGTTTTGTTTAGCGGAAATAAACCTGACTAGTTCACGGTGGAAGAAGTTCGGATCTGGCCTAGAGAGATCGGAATTCAGCTGATTTGAGTCTAGATCTAGTGCGATCGCATTAGCGAAACTCATATTTGATTAGAAATTTGCAGTTAATGACTTTGCTCCGATCAGGAATGATGATAGGAGATGAGAGCTCAAATCCATTGGATAATGGCCAGCAGTCGAAGCTCGATGAGTTGATGAGTGTAATCGAAGCACTAAGAAGAGAGAATGCAGAATTGCGAGCTGGAATGGAGCGTCGTGAGCCTCTGCTATTCCAAGGCCACCTCTAATAGGAAAAGGGAGTTGTGCCATCCAGTGCTGCTCATCACGATGATCCAGAAGGAAACAATTGTATGGATCTTCATCGCGAGGAGATTGTGCCAAACGATTTACCTCCAAACGTCCGTCAGATGGAGGAGAGGGAAGAATCTATCCACTTGGATCCGCATCGCGAATGGATCATACAAGAAAAAGACGCCGTTTTTTATCCAACTCATGGAAGGTTACGGCGTGATGAAGCAATAGAGTTTGACCATTATAGAGATCCATCACCGTGGCATAGGGGATTCACGGATGATAGATCATTTGATCCACCCTACCGGCCTTCAATGGCGACGTATGATTACAAGAGTTCAGAAGGAAAATCTGCAGATCCAAAGATTCCACCACGATTTTCAAGGGAGAATGAAGCACTCCATTCCTCTGCAAAAACGGTTGCATCACCGTTCACTAGCGAAATCCTGAACGCTCCGAATCCGAGGAAGTTTTCCATGCCAGTATTCATTCTATTCGATGGAACAACCGACCCGATCGATCACATTTACCACATTCAGTTGAAAATGGCTTTGAATACGAACAATGACCCTTTGATGTGCAAATGCTTCCCTACAAACTTGGCAGGGCCAGCCCTCAACTGGTTCAAGAATTTGACTGAAAGCTCAATCGTTAGCTTCCAAGACTTGTGTGATAAGTTCATCAGCCAGTACTACGGGAATAAGCGCCCAGCAAAAGATGTTTTAAACCTTTTTACTATGAAG